CTTTTCAGGTGATGGCACCCAGGTATCAGAGAAAGATTTTCCTACAGATTGGATTGGCCTCATGTTCCAAAACTCCCTCTTTGTTCCTTTCTCCACAAGACCTATGATTTACCTTCCTCAGACAGAGACTGCCTTTGCATAATGGAGTTTATCATCGCAAAACTAGTTGGACCTTCTAAGCTACCTGAGTTAGCGGACCAAGATTCCTGGTTTTCACAATTAATGTAAAAAATGGATTTGTTCATTGGTTGTTGTCTTCTGTTTTTGTTTTGTTTTGGAATCTTGAGATCATGAGCTATGTGGTGACTTAGATTAATTGCAGCTATAAACACCATCAAGCAGCTGATTTGTGAGAAGTAAAATTAATCACCACTCTCTTCCCATGCACGCACATTTGTTCACACCATCTAACATATGAAACAAGACCTGAAGGGGGACTAGCACTGTGCGTCATTGTGCCAATCTTATCTTAAGAAGTAAATTTCCAAGCTGGATCTCTTATTTTTGCAGCATCTAATTACAGAATATCAGAATGCAATGAGGACCCAGAGGTGAGCTGAATTATTGAAAAAATAAAAGCAAAGAGTGCCCAGAAAACTATTATGTGTATTCATAATAGATTCATCAAACTTAAGGGTACTGAGAAATGCAAGTATTTAATTCAGAAGACAACATCTCCTTTCATAGCCCTTGGAAAAAATGCTTTTCTTTTTCCCCAAACCTCCTGCAAGTTTTGGTAATTGAATGAGACAGAGGCCAAAAGCACAGAACAGAGTACAGTCTCTTTAAAGAAAAGTATGTTTATTCAGGTTAAAGTTTAAGCATTTCATCTACTGAAACTGTTCCATAGTTCTGTATACAAGGTGGCTTATTGTTTTCTACCAAAGTTGTCCCAGCACTTTAGCAAAAGGAGATGATTACAAAGGTACATGGCCAGTAAGTGAGGGTGGAAATGTGGCTGTAGATGTAAAGGAAGGGGGTGGGAAGAATTTAATCTTGGGTCACCTGACTCTTGGTCCAGTGCCCTGTCCTTAACCTTCTCCAAAGCATTATTAAAAATATTGAAACATTCTTTGTCAGCATTAGAAACTTTAACTTTCAAACTCANTTTAGCTCTTAGAAGACCCACACTTTTCTGCCTAAACTGAGGTGCAGAAGCATAAAGAAATGCACCTTACTGTGTCCTGCAACAGTCATGATATATACTCTAGACTTTAATTTTTCATAGAGAGCTAATAGCTTAGTTGTGAGGACAGTTCTTGCTTGGGCTGAGCAAAGAAAGAGGTTGAGAAGAAAAGGAAAGAAAGAGGAAGAGAATAAGGGAAGGAGGAAGTAGAAAAGGAGGAAGCAGGAAGAGGAGGAAAAGAAGTCAATTATATCAAGTAGGAAAAATGCTGAGCAAAGACTAGAATGTCCTCAGTGCTTGGAAAACTGCTTCCCCAACTAATCTACAAATGTGGGCACTTTTCGGCTCTGTAACTTCTAAGTCACTGAGAAGACTCATATGTGCAGCGGACCTGGCCTTTAAAGGCTGTTCTTTTATGTGTGCTGGGGGATGGGCCTCACTACTAAAGAAGGGGGTAGGCAGAAGGATGGATGAGGCAGGTAAAGGTTGTCCAAGTCCTGGATCCAGAAGCTCCTGACCTTTTCAGGTGATGGCACCCAGGTATCAGAGAAAGATTTTCCTACAGATTGGATTGGCCTC